GACCTCTGCTGAGTATAGACATCTTATCTTGTGTTTGCCCTTCTATAATGTACTTTCTACAGCATATGGCTAAGTATATAGTTACAATGTTCTAACTGGTGAAATTTATTCGGATTATATCAATAAAAATGTTGTAATATATTCAAATGTTAACGCCCAAGCAATTATAAAGAAAAGTAACGCAGGCAGTCGGTAGTAGATGAATTATATATTATATGTAATGTGCATAAATACATATATTTAACACTATGAGAATACTGAATATAATATATTATAGTTAAATGGTAATTTAAATTAGTGTGCAGTGCACCTGATCGGATACATAGAAATATACCAGCCAATAAATTGTGAAATATATTGTTTGTCCCTTCTTTATTTAAACACTATTTACTGAGCTAAAGATCTTGCAAACCGATTGTTGTAATGAGTAAACTGGCAGTCATGAAGTCTATGCTTGTTCTGACGTGTCTGTGTTTTCTTGGCATTCACGGGGTCTACGGTAAGTCATTGTGAGACTGATGTTTAACGATTGTCATCTTCATCCTCATCAAGTGCCTTGCTGACTATTTTAGGCCAGCAATCCACTTCACAACCTGCCATCTTTATCAGCAATGTATGATGAGTTCGTGTGCTGACACCCTTCCTTGCAATAACAGAAGGTTGTCAACAACTTTTTCAATTTCTCGTCATCTTTCTGTTTTCGACAAATCTTTAAATTTAAATCAGGTACAGTTCCAATAAGTATCTAGGCTATCATGTATAGAACTGTTCCATTATACACTATTAGGGTTTCAAAAAGCAGTGAGTAATAATCGGTGATGATCCAACTCTTAAAAGATTCAGTTGCTCAATAATCATATTAATACTGTCGCTTCAACAACGACATGCGCTAGTGAGGTCCAGTTTGCAGTGCGAGACACCCTGTCTTCTTATTCTCTACGTCCTCTTTTACCGCTGCGGGTGTCGAGGGAGATATAAGCTCCTGCTTTGACACCCTGTAGTCTCCTATACAGACAGATTTTATTCCATATTTCAGTACTAAAGTTGCGTTGTGTAAGCGGGACTGCCCCTAGTGGCGAAGTAGACAAAGGGCGCATCTCGCAAAATACCCAAACCTTTCTATAATAGCCCTCTAGCGCTGGTTAACAAGCCAGTGTCCAACCATTAGCCTGGGCACGGGTAACCACACCCGAACCGCCGCAAAAAAAAAGCTACCTGGCATAACGATGTCTAAAAGAATACTCATTTCGGTCTTGTTTGCCAAAGACGATTTAACTGCTAAAAGATGCACTATAACAGGTAACTGAGTCGAGAGTCCTGCAACATTAGAAACATCCTAACAGAACTACGTCTGCAGATCGTAATACTTAAAGCCCAACAACCTCACTCACAGCATAGTCGCTGTGGTGTTGGCAGCTAGCTGACCGCCTGGAGGTCGTGGGTTCGCGTCCTGTCTGGGCCGGACTTTTTTCGAAAATGACCTTGACTCCCAGGTCAACCCAGCATTGAATGGGTACCAGGTGCAGTGCTGGGAAGTTAAGACGACCGGCGTGATGTGACCACATCACCCACCAAGTGTCGAATGGTATACAAAAATATAGTTCAGATCTATATTCTCAATACGCCCAAAGGCGTGGAAAAGGAACCTTTAGTTTTTTTCTTACACTCACACCATTAAGCAGCTGGGCCACGGTGCTGCCCAGTGCTAGGAACGCAACATTCTTATCAGTAGGACTCGCTGAAACAGACATGGTCTGGAGGTTAGGTCGTGTGTACAACACTTAGCCTACTTTACATGTTTATTCGAGGAATATGTGAAACTTACGTCGAGTCACATACAGTGGGTCTCGGGGGATTTCTCAGTGACGGGTCTACTGAAACATTAATAGGGTCCATTAACACACACACACACACACTATATATATATATATATATATATATATATATATATATATATATATATAAATTAGGGCTGTACCGAATAGTGGTTTTCAATATTCGGCCGAATACGAATAACGGGACCAACTATTTTGCCGAATACGAATACGATTACGATTAGTGTATAGTGTATTAAAAAAAACATTCATAATGTCAAATGTACACTGAACTTTTACTTCACATAAAGTAGCACAGAATAGTCATCTTCTTCTTTAGCATTCTGAGCCCTTGAGGTTTACAGCTGCAGATATCATTCGTCTCCATTCATCTCTCCGGCTGGCCTTCTCTTCACAATTTGTGACACCAGTTGTTTGCAGGTCTGGCTGGACATTATCTCTCGAACTTTTGTGTGTGTCTGCCTCGTGGTCTACGTCCATTCCTCTCTCAGGTGTATACAGTTTCTACTTCTCTGTCATATGACATTTTTTCAATATTCCCTAACCATTTTAGTCTGTTAGCTCTCATGATGCCAGTGATCAATGTGATTTAAACTGATTGTGTGTTACGTTGTTGCTTCTCACTATCCATTTCCCGCTGCTTGCATCTTTGATGGGTCCAAAGA